TGAAGAAACACATAATTGCAATGATGCACACATGTGCATCATTTCGAGCACAGTGTGAACCTGTTGATTCATTCATATTCATAAAATGTTCAGAAATTTTTTTTAGCAATCTTCTATCTAACAATAGAGGGAGGAAAGAAATAACCTAAATTCTTCACGCAAATGTTTCTAGGTTGCAAGTTATTTATTATTTATTTTTTTCAATTTTGAATTTTGATCTTACTTAAGCATATTTTTAAAGTATCGATCAAAATTTTCCCCCTAATGTGCTTACGCTAGCTTTAAATCTTGGTGTTAAAGAACTTTAACCCTCGGTAGTTTTAGTTGTTGTTGACGTATGCCTGTTTAGGCAGAGGGGGTGCGATTGCTCTTGCTTTCCAGTGGCGCCATCTATGACCAAGAATTCGACTTCTGCCACACCATGCGTCACACCCGTTTATAGGGCTGACCCATTCATACATCCATTCATTCATCCACAGATCGCAATTTTGACCTGAATCAGAGAACGATCGATCTCCAATCCAGTACCATTAGAGGTATTGATTTNAAATCATTACCAAGGTATGTAATAACGCTTTGGTAAAAATTCCTGAACTATTTTTTCAAAAATAAATATTAGAGCTAGGAAGGATAAGAAACTTTACCAAAACCTTGTAAGTCATTAATAAGGAAGGCGCAATTAAAATTAAACAAAACCGATCACATTGACAAATGAATGTTGAATGCGTTTCTACTAATCGTCTTTTCCCTGGCAATCAAACAGGTTTTAATCACGTCTTCACTATTGATGATTGGTCAGGTTGTCATAACGTAGTTGCTTTTTCCCTGCTTTAACATCAATTTGCGACTATTAATAAGTTCAGTTGATTAAATGATTTTTTTGACAGAAATGTGCTAAAACTTGTAAGAGTGATTACAGAATACATTGTTCCTTGTTTAAAAAAAGCACACACCCTAGAATTTCCTTTGCGAACGCTCTAGTTTTCATCAAATGTGAATCTTCATGAATCTTTCAAGCACGTTTTATGCCACAATAACTTTAGTCTGAAACCTAATTAACATTTAAAACTATCAACTAGTATCATTTGAACCAATCTTTAAAACTAATCTTAAAATACAGATAATTGAAATGTAATTAGTTTGATGGATCTTTTATCTGCATATCGTCTTCGCGCATATTTTTAATAGCGTAATTCTTAATATGTCGGAAATTTTTAACTTTTTCTTAATCAGTGAACTAAAAAGCTCCCATTAACTTCACTAAAATAGTTTAACGCTTCCTCCTCCGTGAATGAGCGAACTCTATAAATTTGAGGAAGCGTTAAACACATTTTTGTTGTCTAAAGCATTCCGAAATGCAAAACACATCCTAAGAATATTTTGCACGTTAACAGCTTTAATCTACCACTTAACCAACATTTAAAATCACCAATTGATGCCAACTGAACCAATATTTAAAACCTAGCTTAAAAATCAGTACATTCAAATCTAATACAGGCTCTTTCATCTGTATATCAATACCATGCATATTGTTATTGCGTAACATCTTAACGCATCAGAACTTTTTTATATTTTTCTTAACAAGGATATTTGTTTTAAAATGTTTCTAAATAACTTCACCGAAATATTTTATAGATATTGATTATTTTATTCTATTAAATTCTGTTTGTTATATATTTTATATTCAATTAGTGTTTTTCTCAAGCAAATTACCTGTCTTCTTTGTATGTCACACCCAATATTGTACGACTCATCCTAACAACAATTTTCTTAATTTGTCCGAACACATTGTCCTTAATTGGATTAGTAAGCCTACTGTATTTGTATTTGCTAAAGAAGGGATAATCAGGGGCAATTTATTTTGTCATTTTATGTAGGATTATAGGATATTTCATGTAGAATTGAGCTATTGAAACATAAACTTTCAAAATTGTTATTTTTATTTTCATTTCATTATGAGGAGAAAAATTTTGATAGATAACGTTTTCAGAATTTCAGTCTCCCTTGGTGGTCAGTGGGTTAGCTTAGAACAAATATTCAATTCATTTTGTCCACACTGTAAAAAAATAACAATTGTTAGCTCGTTTGTTTTTTTAATTTTTCCGTATATTTAATGTTTTAAAGCCGTTTTATTGACAAAACGGTTTTTTTCGTTAAGTTCACAAAACGGTTTTTTCCGTTTTTTATCCTAATCAAAAACGGATTAAACCCGTCTGCTGAAATTTCAGTTTTTGCCAAGCAGTTTTGCGTTCTTTAATATGACTTTACCTTTTCTCCAATCATTTTACGAATATTACTTTACTTCACGTTTTCGAATATCATAAATGTCCCGCAGTGGACTGATCGTTAAGACACGGTTCCCAGCAGATCACCGAAGTCAAGTATCACTGGCTGCGGTCAGTGGGCGGGTGGGTGACCACTTGGATCAGCCTGCGTAGGGACCGAGGGTGTGCGGTATTGGTCCTCGTTAAACTGTTCTACCGTAAAGCGCTCGACTTCGCGTGCAGGTCGTCGGGCTACCGAAGCGGGAGTGCCATCCCCTCCGCAGAGGATCAAAATTGTGATGGCATGTCTTCGGATCATCCTCAGGGATGTTTCCCAGACCGTCGCCAATTGCCCATTGTGCAGCTCTAGAGCGACGTACAACAACAACAATATCATAAAAATTAAACTGTTGTTTTTCTCTGTGAAACCATGAAATTGTTACAATATTGAATTTTGCGAAATTAGTTCATTAATAGTCAATTAGTTGCAATTGAAGCGAAATTCTCACTATCACAATTTCTTCATAATGAAATAATTGAGTCACGCTGGCTCAGGAGACAGACAGTGTGCCTCCCAATTAAATGACTAAAATTCGAATTGATACAAACACTAAAAACGATAAAAATAATAATAGAATAATCGATACAAATTATAAAATAATCACATCTAAGGCAAGTAAAGACTTACTTCTCAATTTTTACAGAGAAAACTCTTCCCATATGGTAAAATTCTTTTATATTTGGTATTACGGTAACAGGCTATTATTTTGCTGCATAAGCTTCTTTTGCTACCGTAAAAAAACATTATGATTAAGGATTTTCTTCGTAATTTTTAAGGATAAAAGGTACAAAATCATTGAGGTACAAAATCAAAGGTACAAAATCATTTTTTAAGGTACAAAATCATTGAGGCTAAGGATTTCGAATATTTAATGGTTTTGCTGAACCATTTCAGCAGCCGGTTTGAAACCGTAAGTTTTACAGGATTTTTTTACAGTATATCAGTCTAAACCAGTGTATCTCAACCTTCTTTGTAAATATGACCCTACTAAGCCTTTTTTTAAAATAATATTTAACTCTTTTTTAATAATATTTTAAAATTATATGTTAAAAATATTGTAAAATAATTATATTGATTATTGAACAAAAAATTAGAAATTCATTAATTAAATAAACCTAACATATCCATAATTCTTAATATCCAAAATTGAAATGCCACTAAGTGCAATTGAAATATAGGTTTTTGGAAGAAATCACAAGGTAATTTTTGAGCACGTAAATTTTTCAAACTTATAATGAAGAAGAGAATTTTAGGTATAATTAAGTTTGGATGAAAGATTTTTCTACATTATTTTAATTATTAGTACAAATTATTATTTAAATCTAGTATTCTTGCAATTGATGATTGTTGCAAAAATATTTTATCTCAGGTACCAATTCAGGTAAATTCAGTCTCTAGTTTCGCCTTCTTTTTGCGTCTATCCGAATTTTTTTAAGTAGCAGCAATTTTTTTATGAAACAAAACCTACATCAAGCTAGATAGGTAACAACACTTTTCTTGGATATTTGGTTGTATTTAGATACAGTGTGATTTTTCCTAGATTTATACTTCAGTAGAGAAATTCGATAAGACCGTTCACTCCCTTTTGCGCAACAACATTGCGAACAAAAGTTAATATAGGTTTTATAATATAGGTTTTCCGCACTCGAGTAACAACTGAGAGTCACAATGTTACTCTTGGTGTACCGAGTTTTGAATAACCTCCTTTGAAAATCGAATTAAGCTTTTGTGGGTCCTAAGTCTCTACGTTGGACGTGGCATGTTGCCCAACTAAACTAACTAACTAATTGGTCTAAACTAACGTAATTAATATACTGCTAACATTTTAAAAGCAAATGACCGATTGTGTTACAATGCGTGTCGTTCCTAGTGAGGTAGAGTACAGTTAAATAAATTGTTCTTGCATGATGTGGAACTTTTTTTTCGTACGTGTGATAGATGGAAAAAGATATTATTCCTAAATATCGATTTCGGTCAAGTACATCCTGTAATGTATATGAATTAACACTAAGTCTATGAGTTTCAGTAGCGTATTATACCTTGCCGTACTACTGGTATTAGATGGAAATCGTTTGAGATTTCCCTTTGTTTCAGTGGCCCCCGTTATCCTCAAATCTTTATCTAATCGTGCATTAGCAGGATGCAGTTGAAAATGACCCCCGGAATCAAGATTCACCAGTTTTAACGAATTAGAAAGTGAAATTCGGGTGCCACAAAGGAACTCCTATACAACACCTTATACACAAGGAATCTTCATTGTAAAACATTCTGGATCAAACTACGGCGTAAAGTACCGGCACTTTGGGTTCATCCTAAGTCCATTTTTACCTTAAAATATTTTTTTTTCCAATGGCCAAGGTTACAAAAGATCACTCACCACAAAGGGAGTAACAACAGAATAAACAAACACAAAACAAAAACAAACGTGGCAAGAAAAGTCTATGAACCCAATGAGTCTCTGGCGCGCCAGTAACGGTCACACAAAGAGATGTCCCCCAGTGCCGGGCAAAGATGAAGGTGGTCTGCATCCATCTCCGCTTGAAGGTCACAGAGCGTACAGAAAGGGGCTTCATCAACATGAATTCGATGGAGATGTTTGACTCAGCAACTGCCCTACGTCTTGGCCACATAGGACGATTTTTGAGATTATTCCACCAGATTTTACCAGAATTTTTCTAAGTGTATTGGTTTAAAGAGAGATCCATCATCTTTTTCTTGATTAGGCGCTTGGCACTAGTGAGAGGGACAGCTTTCTTTGATGTCTGTAGGATAGAAGCTCCCTGCTTAGCAAGATGGTCTACTAACTCATTACCAGCTACACCGCAGTGTCCCGGGATCCACTGCAAAACAATTTCCTTAGAAAGCCCAAACAGACCCTGTAGGAGTTCTTTACACTCAAGGATGTTAAAGGAGACAGGAGTAGTGTTTGAAATCACAGCAAAAATTTCCGCTTTTGAGTCACAAAAGATAACAGCCATAACAAAACTGTTCAGATGACAGTGCAGCTGCGATAGAGCTACACGAATAGCAGCAACCCCACCATCAAAGGCAGTTGTGAAATTTCCAGTTGAAAAATAAAGAGAGAACAGATAGCTGCAAACCCCTCCTCCTGCGTTGTCAGTGTCCTTCAAAAGTCTACCATTGGTATAGATATGTACCCAATCGGGTTCAAGATATAAGGTGCTTATTGTTTCCAGAGCAAGCATTCTTAATGAAATACTCAATTAATTAGAGTTATTCAGTGATTTTGTTGTAAGTATTATTGTAAAAATTACCGTATATCAGATTTTTTGCCCCGCAACATGTTCCAGAAAAAATTTATTTTATGATAAAAAGTACAAGTACCGTAATTTTATTAGGAATTTTGTACAGTGAGGTCTGTATTGAAGGTGTCCAAAAAACATTGTAGGGACGGTCATTGTTCAATATAAGTTGTTCTTTAAAAACCGTCTGCTTTAAAGTCTACTGTCTGTTCTTGATGTGTGAGATAGCGATATCATGCATGGTGTGACCTGAAGAAACGCATAATTGCAATGATGCACACATGTGCATCATTTCGAGCACAATGTGAACCTATTAATTCATTTATATTCGTAAAATGCTCTGATTTTTTTAGCTATTTTCTATCCAAGCATCGAAGGATGAAAAAAATAACCTAAATTTTCACTCAAATTTTTTCTATGTTGCAAGTTATTTTTTATTTTATTTTTTAAATTTGATCTCAAATGAGAGCATATCTTACAAGTATCGATCAAAATTTTCCTCCTAATGTGCTTACGCTAGCTTTGAATCTTAGTGTTAAAGAACATTAACCCTCGGTAGTTTTAGTTGTTGTTGACGTATGCCTGTTTAGGCAGAAGGGGTGCGATTGCTCTTGTTTTCCAGTGGCGCCATCTATGGCCAAGAATTCGACTTCAGTCACACCATGCGTCACACCCGTTTATAGGGCTGACCCATTCATACCATACATCCATTCATTTACAGATCGCAATTTTGACCTGAATCAGAGAACGATCGATCTCCAATCCAGTACCATTAGAGGTATTGATTTGTTATGGGAACATGGAGGACTATTGCGACTCGACAGATTTAACGTGCATCCGTCACTTTACTACACGGGGAGTCAGTAAAGCCGGCGAGGTTCGAACCCACGAACTCTCGGACTTGGGCCCAGCGCTCTACCGTCCAGGTTATCCCGGCCTTTTAGTTTTGCTTCGCAATGCTGATCCAAACATTTCTCTTCTTAGCCTTTATTTTTGTTTGGATTGTTACTTTATTGGATTTTTCTCAGCCTCTTATTTCCTTTCATTCTTTCTGTATGACATAGCCATGCTAACAGACTACATTTTATAAATTTAATAATTAAAAATTCAATATTGTTTCAAGTTCTTTTAATTCTCTACGAAATATTACAGAAATATTTTATAATCAAGATGGAAGTCGTGGTATTTTTTCTCCAAAACCATTCTTAAAAACATTCTCTCGAGAAGTTTAAAAATGTGGTCTATCGTTTTTCTGACCCAAAACTTTCATGTCATAGTTATGCAAATACAACCACTTGAATAAGTTGCATCATATTTAGAAACATTCCCTTACATTTGTAGCTTTATTTTTAAATCCATTTTAAAGTCAAAATGCTTGTATCAGAAGTAACTGGCATAATAAATCAAAGTCAATCTTTCAAAATCAGGAAACTTTGAAGTTTTTTTGAAATGCCTGTCATAGATAACGCTTCTTACTTATGTAACTCACTGTTTTTCAAAAAATATCAGAACCATTTCTAGGAAAAAAATATAAATTCCTTTCAAAATTATCTTCAAAAAAGGTAGAAATCAGTTGCTTCTAAATTGTCTTTGACAGACAATCTCTTTTCAAAAACCATCGATTTTCGTCAAATGTTTTTTCCTTTTCTTATAGCATCATGACTATGCAATAAAGAATAGTCCTTTTCTTATTCATTGTCTACATATACTCCAGAAAACTTTTTTCATTGTTATGGTATTAGGCTCTTTGTTTTAAACCAGCTTTATCCGTTTCTAAAAATTTTGATTTGTGTGATACTTTAATTACCTGTTTTGGATATTTTTGTATAACATAAAAATTCTTTTAATACCCTTTCAGTTTTATTTTTTTTTGCATGGCATACAGTGTCTTTTAATTACCTGTTTTGAATATTTTCATATTACATAAAAATGATTTTAACAACCGGTTTTGGGTTTATCGTATAGATGGCATACAGTGTATTTTAATTACGTGTTTTGGATACTTTCGTATAACGTATAAATTGTTTTAATTAGTATCCGCCTGGGATTTTTTGTATCTCATATTAATGTATGTTTAGGATATTTTTGCTCAACATACAATGAGCTTTGATCTGTTTCTACTTTTTTGCATAACATACATTGTATTTAAATTGCTTGTTTTGGATATTTTCGTATAGTATACAAAGGGTTTTAATATTCTGCGTTGGATTTCTTGGATGGCATCCAGCGTGTTATAATTACCTGTTTCGGATATTTCCGTATATTATACAAAAAGATTTAGTTACCTGCGTTCTACATAGCATCTAGTGTGTTTTATTACCTCTTTTGGATATTTTCGTTTAACATACAAAGAGTGTTAATTTTCTTCGTAGGATTTTTTGCATGGTATACAGTGTGTTTTAATTACTTGCTTTGAATGTCTTCGTTTAACCCAATAGCGGTTTAGAGAATGGGAAAAATTGGAAGAATGTTACCCTAAGATACACCATTTCCCTATATAAGAACAGAGGAAGACATTTTAACATGGACATTTGCGTTACATGGAGAGTTAAAACCGCGGAGACTTCACAAGGTTAACAAGATTGCAAAGTAATCTAAGCCATGACCTGTTCCCCACTGAAGATATTTTATGTCAGAGTTGTGGTTGGTACGAGTCGAGGGCAGAATTCGTGACTACCAGAAAACGTTGGGATTCGAACATGGGTCACCTCATTAAGAGACGAGTACGTTCTCCAATAAGCCACCTCAGCTCATTAACAAATTCTTATGTTTTATCTGCTGAGCACATGATTAGATATTTGTATTTCTTAATGTTTATCTGAAAAGACAAAAATAAATTCACGGGGACCAACGCCATGCTACAATAATTCTGTTGCAGGAGTGATGACTGTAAACGCCCTCTATAAATCAATATATTTTAAGCTGAAATACTTTATTTCATATATAGATTACGTTCTTCGCTTCATTCTAAGAGTTACTTCTACAGTAACAATTCAACTATTAAAAATTGATTCTATTTATTTATTATTTGTGTGTGAGCTATAAGCTGCAATTTATTTCGTCTGATTTAGAAAAAATGATGTGGATATCAGGTTGCTATGACGACATGATAGAACAAATTGAGTATACAAAAAATGTAATGTTTTCTTTTATAAAATAGAGACAGAATTTTTATTAAATAAATTTGAGAATGAAAGAATATCGAACTTTCTGATAGATTCTCGTAACGTTTGTGGAAAAAATTATGACTCATTAAAAAATATATGACTTATTAAAAAACATAACACTTTTAATTTACAAAAGTTGTTCCACAAAAGTTGTATCATCACAACAACCCCAACATCATTTTCTTTTTAAATAATAACGAGACAACTTGTTGCTTAGAATTTACGCACCATTAATTTATAAATAAATGGAATCAACTTTTCATAACTTCTGTATTATCTCTGATATAAAGTCACTACCAATATTTACTGTAACAAATTGCTTAATTAAAGTGGCTAATAAAATAATCTCCAACACTGAAACATGACAATACATTTTGCGATAAATTCTGTTCGTGCGTTTTTTCCTTATAAAATATTTAAAAAATGCATAAAAATTAAAATGATACAGAATAAATATAAAGCATGAATCCCCAAGCAATGTTGGTTGCTTCATCCTGCATTAAATAAAACTGCTTGCAAAATGGTGTACTGTTAGAAACACCTTGGTTAAAAGGGATAAATAGCAATTTATTTAATAGTTATTTAAGCATATTCAAGCTAAACAGTCAAATGACCGTAAGAAAGATGGCATTCAAATAGTTAAATGTGAGAAATATTGTTTATTAATCGCATTCACCTAATACGGTTAAACTAATAAACTTTTACCACCTCAACTACATCCATATAATGAAGCAACTTAGTTCGTTACAGCTAGGTATATATTATAGCCATGAGGGCTAATTAGTCAGTCTCATGACCGACTGAACAGGGGTTCGAGTCCCAACGCTAACATCACAAAATTTTCCAGTTACAACATACGTCAACATATGAAGAATTTCCAGTGTCCTGCACTTCTGACCCTGAGCTTATAAAAAACGGTACTCTGATTCACACATAGATGGCAGCACCATCAAGCTGCTTAACACACAAAAAAGTCTAGCATTTCAACCACAACTCCTATAGTTTGTCTACGGTAAGAACTCCCCCCGCCACAAAGTCTGAGGCCGTCTGCTGCTAAGGAAACAAGAATAGTACATTTCAGGGAGGGTAGCTTCTCCTCACTTTAGGGCAATACGAAGAAAAATATTCCCTTTCTCTCTCCCACCCGAGACAAAACCTGTCCTAAATAGTGACCCACACCCCTATTTGAAATAGTTATACCTCGTTGCCATAGTCACCGCCACGGATCCAGACTAATGTCTAGGGGAGTTCTTACTTTAGACAAACTATATGCTAATTACATTAATCCTAATTCCATAAGCCCAGTTCCAATGTCCAGTTAATTGTTTTTTAAAACCATGCTAGTTATAAATGGTTAAAATAAACATGTAGTTTTGTATTTATGGTTGTTTAACCACATCAGTTCTAATTGGTTTCCAAATCATAAAGGTAGAAAATGCTCTTTACCGTAAACTTTACGGTAAATTTTACGGACAGACTGCTGCCGGTTATTTTACCATAATTTTAGAATGAAAATTCTTACAGTGTGGAATAAAAGTGTATAAATTTCTTCTTTGAGGAAATCAATGAAAGTTTCAACTTCCGTCGCTTATAGACTAGCAGCAAAAGATAAGATTGACACAAAATCCACTTTTCTGTAGGGAAAATCCTCGTGACCAAAATAAAGTCCGTCTGATCCCACCAGATTACTTAAGAATGTATTTTATTCCGAGAGATTTGATGAAAAGTCGATTTCTGGCTACTTTTACAAACAAACGAATTGAAAAGAAACAACTT